TGTGTGTGTGTGTGTGTGTGTATCCTTATATTTACAGACACCACTCATCAAAGAACCTTTTTTTTAATGACAAAGCCTTGGAGAGACTTTTGCTGAGTGCTGTGAGACTGGTATCTGCTGATGGAGAAGGGGGTGGGTTGTAGTTCTAGTCCTTTGTCTTTCCTGCAACTCACACTCATGCTGCATGTGGGTTGTGCATCAGGCCAGTGAAGAACCTGCTGTCTTTCAGAGCCAAACCTGCATTACAAGATTCTTCTTTTTGCATACAAGAATTCACTGCTGGCAACCCTTAGCTTTGTGGTCTGTGGGCTAGACATGTTCTCACTTGCTCTAGAGGCACCCTAGTTTGTGAATCAGGAAATGGCTAATATCAAAGCTTTGGGGTATCCCTACAGTATATAAGAGAATTAAACAGAAATTTTAGATTTTTAGTGGAGGTGGAGAACTGAGGGAACTCTTCACTCTGCCCACTAGCCAGATTGCTTTCAGATCTCATCAAGCAAAAGGACAATGTCAGTCAAAGGAAGGAGAGTCAGAAATTATGATACACTGGACCTGTACTGAGAAATTGAAAGTTTTCAGTCCTGACTAACAGAAAATGTACATGACAGAGGGACACTTCTGGGGTTATGTGCTAAAATGCCTGGAAGCATTCCAGTGTTTTCTTATTTCTTATCCTTAAGATTTACCACAGCATATGGCACATGATAAGTGATAAATAAATGGTTGTTAGATTCAGAAGGATAAACATCTAATACCCAAACATACACGCACATGCACACACACGCACACACACACTCGCACACACATGCACGCTCACACACGTGCACACACATACACGCACACACATGTGCACGTACACACGCACACACACACACAAGCACACACACGCACACATACACACATGCACACACACATGCACGCACACACACACAAACACACGCACACACACACGCACATGCACGCACACACAAACACAGGATACCTTAATGGACAACCTTCTGCTACTCTTTTGCAAACGTGTTTTACAAAGGGGCTAAAATCTTAAAATCTTTATAAAGATTTACTTCTCAACAGAAATCAAAGATTTAAAAATTCTTGAGATATTGTTTAAGAAAATCAGATTTTCTGAGTCTCTGAGCTTCATGGTTTCCAGATGAGAAGGTACCTAATTAATTATCTACATCTCAGATTCTTTGCAAAAATCCACTCTTACTGTTTCTTGGATGTAATAAATATGAAAAATCTGAATAAAAGTGGAACATATTCCACATTTTAATTGGAAAACATTTCACTAATCCAGATCATTCAAGTAATGAGATTTGATTTCACATTTTTACCAGCTGTTACTATAAAAAGCAGTTGAAGGAGTTTTACTTTTTGTGTCTAAATGTAATGGTATGAATAATAAATTTTCTGTCAGTTCTACATTTAAGCAAAAGTTTTAAACATGGATTAATGAACACCATTTTAATGACTGTCCTACCTATTTAAAGAAAGGACTCAATCTTATAATTATATAGAAATTATATTGAGTTCCTTAGGAGAAATTTATAAAACTTGCTTCTTTTCATTAATATCTTGATATTTATGTTGAATTACATTTGGAAAAGAGATAAAATTGATTATTTATAACGTAGATATGATGTAATAGCCACAGTACTAGTTAATGCATTTTGTGGCATGTTTACTCAGAAAGAGAGGGTATGTAGGTTGCTTATTGTCAAAAATATGTCAGTTTTAAAATAGACAACTTTTTCTTTAAGAAGGCTACTTGCATGAAGCTAGAATGACAGCAGTCTAATACAACCCAAGTTCCATTTCGCTCCATTCTGTTAAAAACCTAACATTTAATTTTTTCAAAAATTTCCTGTTTATTATTTTTTACAGCAATGGAGCAACCAGTTTGTTAAACTTATTGAACGACTTTTTCTTCTAACTAATTAAATACGTTGTTAGTACTACAATGCTCAATTGCTGTTTGAATTGAACTAAAGAAGGCTCTTTCCTAAGAAAAACAAAATACAGAGAACAGTGGGTCATAGATGAAAAGCAGAAGGCAAGCAGGAAAGCAGTGCTATTTAATCCTGTGAAGGTTCATCCTGAACTCGTCTATAAATATTGAAGAGAAGAAGTTAAATGATGACAATGTTTTTCTTGACCTCATATTACTTTTTCAGTTTTTAAAAATTATTTATTTAATAACAAAATACTTAGAAAAAGCATTTCATTACAATGGCATTGATATATTCAATAACAATTTTCTGAGCTAAGATGTATCTCTTCCAAAATTGGCTGTAAATTTTTGGGGTTATAGTTGAATTATTACATTTATACAATATTGTACTCAGTAGAAACCCTAAAGACATAAAATTAAATGAGGTTTTAACCTTTTAAAAGATCTCCATTTCTTTATTAAAATACAGTTTCAGACAGAAAAATTCATTTTTAATGCAATTGACATTATTTTACTTATTTATTTTTGTTTTATGTGTATGAGTGTAGTGCACCCATGCCCTGCAATGCCTGCAGAGGTCAGAAGAAGGCATCGGATTCCCCTGGAACTGGAATTACAAACAGTTGTTAGCTCCCATGTGGGTTCTGGGAATTGAACCTGGGTCCTCTGTAAGAGCAGTCAGTGCTCTTAACCACTGAGCCATCTCTCCAGCCCCAATGACCTTATATTCTTTAAGTTAGGGCTACACAGCATACACACTGTGGATTATCGGCTTTTTTCCCGTTTTCATATCCTCCCGTCTTTCTTTCTTCTCTCTTTCTACAGATAGATATTTATTGACTCCTATTATAGTTTTATTTATGGGTTAGATATTTTGACTAATCGTTGAGTAAAATAGCAAAAAAAAAAAAAGAAGCAAAATTCACCTTCATAAAATGTTGATTCTAGCAGCAAAAATAATTAAAAATAAAAAATTGAGTATAATGATAGTTAGCAGATACTATGAAAGAAAACATGAAGGAAAGCGGGATCAAGAGTGGGGAGTGCCATACATAACCTTTGGAGCACCATTAAAGAAAGGAGTCACTGTACCTCATGCATGCTGCTGCTGAGGATCACTCAGTAACTCAGCCCTCATATTAAGAATAAACTAGAGAAAAGCAAGGCAGACAGGTCAGTCTACTGCAATATGCTAACCAAAAGATCACAGTTCATACCATGGAAAATGAAAAATGGCACAAATGGTGAGAAAAATGAATCACATGTCTTTTTTATATATAGATGTTCTGTGTACCAGTTAAGATGTCAAATATGTGATATCTCTAACTTAATTCTTTCCTTTTCTATGTCTTCGGAATATTACCTAACCTCTTTAGCTTCATATATTCTGATCAGTAGTCACCTGAAAGGGTTATAGGGGCTAAACTCCGCAACTTTATGAAATATTTAGCAAAATATGTGGCTCAATGTAAATGTCCAACAAGGACAGTTACTTTTGTCAGTATTTAAGGATAAGGCCCTTGCGTGTCTGCTGGTATTGGGCACTTAGCCCTGTTCTGGTAAATAATAAAATATTTCTAGAAACATTGTAAACAGTGTAACTACTCCATTCATTGAACAAAAGACAATGTTACATATTCTTATCCTAGAGCCTCAGGGCAGGGGCAGATCACTTTTTGAAGTCCACCTCAATGACTTCTTGCTTTTTAACTCTTTGGGCACCATTTCCTCAGATCCTCACATCATTCACCTGGAGCTGTACATGTGTCCAAATTATATTTTCCCCAGTACCCTGATATGCCTTTGTCTGAAATTATGTTAGCCCTCTGGGTGTTAGGTGGCTTTTTTTGAATCTCAAGAATGCATATTTTGGAAATGGAATAAAGAACTTGCACAGATAGCCACATAGGTGGAAGAAAAATAAAGAAAAGAGGAGAGGTTGACACTAGCTAAAAATGTGGACCTGAGTTCAAGTCCTGACTCTTCTGTGTAGTCTTGGGACGTATGCTGCCAAAGTACCCCCAAGGAAGTCATCAGGAAATTTTTTGCATCAATAAAGCTTGTTTCGTTTAAAAATCTTAGAACAGATAAGAATATTATAAACATAGTCTTTCTAGTGCTTTTCAAGGGTGTTGTTAGAGTAGGGTTTTCAAAGGATTCTAGACCCTTGATTAAGTTATTTTAATATGAATCTTGCAAAGCAGATATTTGACTGAAAATTCACCAGTTTAGGAAAACAAGTTGAGACATTTCCAACAGCAAGATGGGGGCCTGGGGACAGGGAGACCACAGTGCACATGGAGGCAAGAGGACAACCTTGCTACCTTAGCTAAGGCTAGCATGCCTTATACCTTCAGGAGATTATCCTGATCTGCCTCCCAATTCCTGTAGGGGCATGCTGGGGTTGCAACCACTTTCACTACTGGGTCTCTATACCTAGATTCTGGGAATCCGCAGTCAAGTACTTAGTATTGCTTAGCAAGTACTTTTATTCACTAAGGTATCTCCCAAGACCTTTCAGTCTTGAACAGTAGCTATGGGTTTTCATGAAGGCACTATATCCAATGTCTGACAATTATCTTCTTGAACCAAATATTTCCTGAAGCTTTCAACTCAGGAATTATTGTTTGGTTTCAGCTTTATTGAACATAGATTTAGAAAAGCAATGCTTTTTGTAAGTTTTAAGTTTTGTTTTCATTTTTTCACCTCTGCCTTTATCTTTAAATTTCACATTGTAAATAAATAAGATAAGGTGTGAAAATAATTATGGCTGGACATGGTTTAGTAAATATGTAAAGAAAGCTTATGGAATGAACCATACACACACATCCAACTCAGGAATCAGTCATACAATTAAAAATCTCAAAATATCACTTACTAATTTGTCTGATACATAGATTGCAGACTATCCTGAATTGTCTTTACATATCTCTCAATTGGAATATAAAACACATATTTTCTGGTATTGTTTTGCTAAGGAATATAATCAACATGCATGTTTATCTAGCTTCTACTGTTACTAATGATTTTTCTTCCTTCACAGAATGACATGAATTACATAGCATCCAGTGGGCTTTTATTCAAAGATGGCAAAAAACGAATTGATTACATCCTGGTATATAGAAAGACAAATATACAATATGACAAAAGAAACACATTTGAAAAGAACCTGAGAGCTGAAGGCTTGATGCTGGAGAAGGAGGTAAATGCTTTCTATGGTTGATTTTGTGGAATTATATCCTCAAATAGACAGTCATTCATGTTTTAGTATGTATCATCTATTCTATATAGCATTAAAAACATGCATATTTTCCCCAAGTGTAAAATAAGCATATATACATAGTCCTATTTAAATATGCATTTAATTTTTGCTCTATATATTTCTGTAGATCTTAAATATTTTTCGAAAGACATGGTTATTTTTGCAAATTGAGAAACTGAATAAGTAATGATTATATGCAAAGTATAAAACCCTGTTAAAGGAAAACTCAAATGTAGAAAGGAAAAGTTTGCCAAATTGCTAACAATTGTGTTTAATTGCTGACGCTGTAAGCTATTCACCATTCTCTTTCTTTTGTGTTTTTTTAAAAGTGTTCTTTAAAGGACTTACTTCATTTCTAGTTGAACAATAAAAGTATGAAGTTCTCTCGAAAAAAATTGAAAGAGTAGAAAGGAAGAGGAAAGATCCTCTTCATAGGCTTGTGATGCCGAAATTGCCATCTTAGCTATTTTTACTGAATCGTCTATGATTTTAAAATCACATTTCATCACATTAGAGAAAAAACAAATCCTACTATAAAAAATCGGCAAAGTCAAAAACTGTAAAATTAAAGCCTGGGTCCACAACACTATTCCAAAGAGGCCGTCTCTCATCTCATCTAACAGCTGCTCCCTACAAAGTGCCCATCAGTATGATAAGTATTATATATATATATATATATATATATATATATATATATATGTGTGTGTGTGTGTGT